CAGGTAACTTGCATATCTTCAGTTGTCTAAGGGTTCCCATCAATAAAGTACCTGATTCATAGTCTGAGCTCAATGAAGATTTATAGAATCAATGAATGCTATCAATATTTCTGTCTCAAGTGCAGATTCTCATTAACAAGTTAGCTGTGACATATTTTAAAAATATACCTTAATGTGTATTTTGGGTGTCACACTCATTGTACATACAGTACGATTTCAGGAAATAAAATATTTTTAAACAAGAGGTAAATGGTACAACTGTGACACAGAACTGGAGCCCGTGTTCCCATTCTCAACTCCTAGAGGCAGTGTGACCGAGCGCCAGCCGCGCGCAGCAGGGCCTCTGGGGTCATGGCCGAGCACGGCCAGCTGCTCGAGGCGGGGTCTCCGGGCTAATGGTGGATGTGGGCCTGGAGGACAGACTGCCCGGCTCCCACGGGATGAGAGCGGAGATGCCCATTCAGCACGTGGCTGGGTGCAGCATTCCTGGAATCAGGCTAACATACCACTCTGCCTGGGAAGAGCCGCTCTCATCTTCTCTCACTAGAGTGCAAACTTCTTTAGGACCAGGTCTATCTACCTAAATATCTTACTCAGATTTAATAAGAATACAGAAAACTATATAGTTGGCATATTGTATAAATGACTTAAAATGCCAATTTTTCAGGAGATCTGAGTAACCACACATACCCAGCGAACACAGTGCTTTAGGAAGACCAGCCAAGAAATGCCAGCAAAGCCCAACTCTCCAAAGGCGCCATTCCAGCTAGAATGGTGAGTGGAGACGTCACAGAGAGCAAGCCCACAAAGGCCGCCCACGAGCAGAACACAGCTCAGGCTGAGCCTGCGGAGCACGGCCTGGGCTAGGGTCCCCAGGCTGGACAGCAGCGGACTGAAGATGCCAAGCTGGCAGAGGGCTGGTCACAGAGACTGGACTTGGGACAATGAGTCAGTTCAAAGCAAGCAGGAGCAGAACACGGGCAAGGGCTTCACTTTCCCCTCGTAAACAAAACTTACTAATCTGGGAACTGCTTAAAATCTGAGTTTTAATACTTTCTGTCAAATGCAGGAAATACTGGGGAATAAAGACGCTTATCAAAGTTCAATGAAATTTCCCCCTGTGGCTCCTATGCCTAAGAAACAGGTGAACGACTAGGTTGTGAGTTGATAGCAGGTAACAGATTATTTTAAAAATAACCCTGATAACTTTGCCTAATAAAGACAAATGATTCTTTGAATGGGGTTCAAAGCCTGACACCCACGTGGCCTCCCTGGCTCAGCTCCTTTGGCTGTCTGCCTCCCTGACTCTGAGACAGTCACACTGCCCCCCGCCCCCCCCGGCCCCGGTCCTTTCTGTGTAGAATGGTTTCCTCGCGGGAATGCTCACAGCTCACTCCCCGCCTCGCGTTAGGACTCTGCTCCAACCTCCCCCTGTCAGAGGTCTCTGACCACTCCACAGGAGAGCACCTGCCCACCCCGGGCCAGGCTGCTTTTCCCAAGAGCACTTATTCACCTGCCCACGCTTAGGGAACTTGTTCTTGACTGTCCCCTTAGCACCCAGGCTACGTGAGAAGGAGCTTAGCCTCTTTGCTCCATTACGGCTCCACTGCTAGAAAACAGCTGTTGTCACACAGTGCGTAACTGGAAAATAACTGTGGAAGAAATTTTAATGAATTACAAAGTAACAAATCATAAGTTCTTGCCCATGAAATTAAAGCTGAGGTGCGTGTTAAGTAGTCACTAAGAATCAATGATGAAATTAGTTGGTTTTATAGAATACTCGAGTACATCATCTGGAGAAGGGATTCACTCACATAGTAAGCACCTAAACGACAATTGCTTTGTACCATAAAGTAGAATTCCCTAAAACACACGCTCACAATATACATATACACAATACAATACACATCAGAAAAATATTTCACAACATGTGAGCCCTGGTATTTTTCAAGGGGTAGGGATTCATTTACTAACTATGTAGCTAATGCGACATTATGGATATTAAAAACAAGTCCTCGGGGCAGCAGGTTGGCCTAGCAGTTACACCACTCACCGGCACCCCACGCTGGACGCCTGGACTCAGTACTTGGCTCCACTCATGACTCTACCTCCCTGCTAATGCAGAACTGGCAGGCAACGGTGCTGGCTCAAACAGCTGGGTCCCTGCCTACCTGGGGAGGCCCAGACCGAGAGCCTGGCTCCCAGCATCAGCATCAGCTCCAGATGGAGCCTGGCCACTGCAGGCCAGATCTGAGGAGGAAACATGTCAACAGGAGCCTGTCGGCACAGCTTCTAACCCTCCCTCCCTCTCTCGCAAAAGAAAAATAATAAATACAATCCTCTAGCACTTCCACAACACACATGGAATGCGTAAAGAGTGAATGAAATGCAGTCCAGCAGCCCTGCCAGGATGCGTGAGAGCAGCAGGGAACTGCACTCTGCACTCCAGGATGCTGACTGAGCCATGTGGGCCACGGGCTCGGAGCTGAGCTGCCCCAACTTCAGCCATGCAGACAGAAGCCCACCGCCCTGCGCTTTTCAGGCAGGCACAGCCAGGCTCAAGCGTAGGTCTTTCACCAAGGGCAGGTCGAGTGATCACTGCAATGCGTTTGTCCTCAAAAACCAAGAGTTAACAGAACGAGAAACAACACAGATGGAGAAAAAACAATCAGAGGAAGGTTAAACAGCAGCTAAAAGCAAGCAACGAATCGCCCAACTTGACGTACGCACCGGAGTCAAGGCCTTCAAACCAGAGCTCTAAAAACCGGAACCTCCGGGCCAGTGTAGCGGGTACAGCCGCCACCTACAACGCTGCCATCCCATGCGGGTGCTGGTTTCAGTCCCAACTGCTCCACCTCCACCTCCGATCCAGCTCTCTGCTGATGGGCCTGGGGAAGCAGCGGCAGCTGGCCTCAGGAGATTCCCAAGAAGCTCCTGGCTTCAGAAGGGCCCAGCTCTGGCCGTTGTGGCCATCTGGAGTGGAGCAAATGGAGGATTCTCTCTCTCTCTCTCTCTCTCTCTCTCTGTCTCTGTCTCTCTCTATCTGTAACTGTGGCTTTCAAATAAATATATTGATTAAAAAAAACAACCTAAATTTCTAATTTGGTTAGTTATGTGGTAGCAATTATCTGCTGTGTCTAATTTTTTTTTAAACTTCTCTTTTTGGCTATAAAAGCAGTGTTCATGTTGGTATGCATAAAGGATACTTAAAAGACAGATATGGCATTATTGGGAAAAAAAACGACAATTTGAGTATCCAAAGTGGATCGAAAAATGGTCAATGATCTGTGCCCCTGAACCTTCAACAGTGCTGTCTATGCATGAGTGCTATTAACCTAATTAAAAAAGTTTTGGAAGGGGCCTTTAGCTTAGTGGTTAAGACAGTCACATCCCTTCGGCTGGCGCCGCGGCTCACTAGGCTAATCCTCTGCCTTGCGGCGCCAGCACACCGGGTTCTAGTCCTGGTCAGGGCACTGGATTCTGTCCCGGTTGCCCCTCTTCCAGGCCAGCTCTCTGCTGTGGCCCGAGAAGGCAGTGGAGGATGGCCCAAGTGCTTGGGCCCCGCACCCGCATGGGAGACCAAGATAAATACCTGGCTCCTGCCATTGGATCAGCGCGGTGTGCCGGCCGCAGCGGCCTTGGAGGGTGAACCAACGGTAAAGGAAGACCTTTCTCTCTGTCTGGACTGGAAGAGGAACAGCCAGTACATGAACTGGCATCCATATGGGATTCTGGCGCCGCAGGTGGAGGCTTAGCCCACTATGCCACAGTGCTGGCCCAGAGAGTGGCACTTTAATACACACTGCTAGGAATGTAAAATGGTCTAGCTTGGAAATCAGTTTTGGCAGTTCCTCAAAAACGGTGAACGGTTACCATAAGACAGAGCAATTCTATTCCTAGCTACAGACAAAAGAGAATGGAAGTCATATATTCACACAAAACTCACAGTATCTATTTATTAACATAAAGGTAGGAACAACCCCAACACCCACTAACTGATGAACGGATAAGAGGTGCTGTGCTAACACTGTTTTGCAATAAACAGTAATGAAGATCTGCCACGCGCTCCCCTACGGAGGACCCTTGAAGCACGGTGTTAAGCGAGAAAAGTCAGTCACAGAAGGCCGCAAAGACACGATTCTATGTCGATAACATGTCCAGAATAAACTGACAGGGACCGGGAGCAGAGGAATGGCTGCCAGGGGCCGAAGCGGAGGGCAGCATGGGTGGTAACTGCTACCGAGTACCAGGAAGTCAGGAAAATGCTCTGAAACCGACAGGATGGCTACACATATCTGTGAACACGCTGAAAGGCATGGAATTTGAGAACACTTAGGTGTGGAACCAGCATTATGGCGCAGCGGGGAAAGGAGCTGCCTGCAGTGCCGGCATCCCATATGGGTGCCAGTTGGAGTGCCAGCTGCTCCTCTTCTGATCCAGCTCTCTGCCATGGCCTGGGAAAGCAGCGGAAGATGCCCAAGTGCTTGGGCCACTAAGCCCACATGAGAGACCCAGAAGAAGTCCCAGGCTCCCGGCTTCAGCCTGGCATAGCTCTGGCCATTGTAGTCATTTGGGGAGGGAACCAGAGAGTGGAAGGTGTCTCTCTCTCTTAACTCTGCCTTTCAAGTAAGTAAATCTTTAAAAAATATAATTAAAAAAAAGACTGAAATTTAATCTCTTGGAAGGTAAATTAAAATTCTTCGCTTGAAAACACAGTCAAGTGTGAACACTGGCTAACTTCTCCACTCTGGTCATCTCATTATCAAGAGTCACCTACTGCAGGCTATTACTGACGACACAGGATTCAAGGTTGTACTCGGCCCTGTAGGAGATAACTTGTCAGTCTGAGGGGTTTACAGATACACAAAGCTGATACATCTCATGAGCTTCATAGAAGATAACTGAAAATCCCGAGAACTACGGACTCATGATTTCGAATGAGGAATTTAAATGTAACGGTCAGAATCAGACTGGATTCTGGAGGTTCTTAAAGCACTTACTGGACTCATGTATACTCCTTGATGTACATCTCCAAACTGGCCTTCTCCAATACACCGTCCAAGTTCTATTCTGTCTCTTTGAATTTCATAATCCCTGGCTGCAAAACAGGATCCACATATCAGTCAGCACCACAGCACAGGCGCCTCAATGTAGAAGTAAATGCATACTTGGCACTTTCATTTCACTGTCATCCACGAGCAAACACTTCATCTGAGGTACACAAGTCTAGGAAAATGCTTGAAACGGCGTGGAATTCTCTTAAACCGTGTAATTCAGAAGGCATTCATTTATCAGTTTTGGCACTGGACAAACTACCAAAATGATAATTCTATTAAAAGCAGATTGTTTTTCATGTTGCTCTTAGGAGTTCCAAGAAGTCTGATTTATTTTATATCTATATGGTAGCTTTATATATAATTGGTCCAATTATTAAATTGTATGCTTAATTATTAAGAACTATTAGCTTAGGTATTAATATATGAAGTTAAAACAGTTGTTTAAAGCAATTATTTTTAAAGTAACTGAAGTCGATAATATGGAGACAATGTAAACTGTGTCATGAGTGAACTTACATTTAGAACGTTTAAGAGTTTTCCACTTCATTATAATCCTATCTCTATATTATTCACAGAGCTAAAAGAGTTTAAAGAGGTAGTTTCTAAAAACTAATTTCAAAATTAGATGATGTGGAATCAAAGTTAAACATATCAGCATAATAAATTGTGAGTACTTTTTGCCTTAGAGAGCATGTGCCTCAAGTTAATACATTAAATGACTATAATTTATATGAAATCATTTAGCAGGCTGTTGAGGCACAAGGGAAGGAAAAGAATCACCAGGAATTGAGTAGGCTGAATCTCAGTTCAATTAACTACTTGGTATTTTGATTTATTTCAGTGAGAAACTCGCCCTATACCCCAAACTGTATGTGCTCCATTAGTGTTACCACCAGTGGAGTAAACCAAGAGCCAAACATCTTATAACTCCCCTGTGCTATGCAATTATAAAATCATACCGACCATTCAACCCCAAATTTAGATAAGTCATTTTCCTCTTTAAAATCACTTTAGCTAGCAATTTCATTGATTTAACAGTATGAGTAAACCAATGACAAATAGTTTAAAAATACAAGTTAACTGAAACAGAAACATCCCGTATCACTCCACAGGTTGCAATTGCAAGCAAATGCAGTTATTTTAAGAGAATCCTGTTACCTTTATCTATTCCATAGCTTTCTGTATTGCATTTAAGAGAGAGAAAAATTGAAGACCTTGCTTAGAAATAACTAAAAGCAATAGGTTAACAATAACAAACTTGGAAAGTACACTTTATTAACTTTACTTTTAAAAACATTTTAAGTATAAACATGATAAAACATTATATCAAATAAAATATCATATCAAATAAAATATCATATCAAATAAAAAAGAGAAGCATAAGTAAGAACTAAATATCTACAAGTTAACTATTCTGAATTCCATACTGTAACTCATTTTGGTGGTGCTGGTATACAACTTAGCCATGTTGGACTTTTACTATTCAACTATGAATAACAAGTACACAAATACAACTTCAGATTCTCTATGTGAACGTACAAGTGTCTAAACAGCTAGTGAAAACTATTAACTTAGGTGAAACACTTTTCCAAATTTCTCCTGGCAATCACACTGCACCTACTTTTCCGTTCATGTCTCCTGATCCTAAAGGAGCCCCCGAAGGGCTCAGCCGGCACAGAGTAAGCCATTCTGAGGGCACTGCAGCCGCCCTGCGTTTTGGTAACGTCTTCTCAATAGACACAGAAGAATCCAAACGACAGTATCCCTTAAAATATTTATGTAACTCAGAAAATATTGTATGTATTTATTTTACAGACATGTATAGCTCTTTTGAAATCAAGACACTCAGATTTCAAATTCCCACCACTTCTGAGGTCTCTTTAAAAGCCAGGTTGTAATTCTTACATGTGAGTGAGACGTAAGGGCTCACCCAGTTCAAGACCTGAGGCCTGGACACACATTCTGACACCCGGGGCTTCAAGATCCTCCGCCAACAAGCGGACAGCCTCACAGGAGAAGGTCATTTCAGAGTTCTGTCCCTCTCCCCACTGCTACCCCAAGGTCAGCAATTCAAGCTGGAGGTTAACTGTACTGGCTGGGGGAAATGCAATCCGCTGCACACAGATGTGTGTATGTGCACACTATTTAACCTTTAAAGAATACTAATTTTCTATGAGAGAAAACCATAAAACGTTTTATTCCCATAGAGCCAGAACAGTAAGATTACAAAAATCCTGTAACTAAACTGAATTTAGTAGAGACCTGAGTTTCAGACTTCTGACCTTCATTAGAGAAGGCATACGAATACAGAAAATCCTACAGGCTGAAAGACTATTTCTATCCAGCAGTCAGTGAGGCATCACACACAGCACTAAGATGTCAACAGACATCGACAGCAGCAGTGAGGCACAGCCAGGACCTAGTGGGAGTGCACTTACTTGAGGGCATGGTGTACGTGTCTTCTTCATCTATGATCTCAGCATAGTCGTCAGTCTCTGCAGGAAAGCACACACAGGCATTGGCTGAGGTTACTCTGATGTCTGACCCCCAGGCCTTCCACGCATTTGAAAAGGCAAAAATGATCTGCCTGAATTTCCAACTATGCTCAAATATTTTTAAATACTCTTACTCAATTTTTGCTCACCCATGAGTCACTTATGGAGACAGAAGTGACATCACTGCCTGATATCAGAGAACAAACAGGCTAACACAAAAAGCCCTTGTAGAAAACAGAAGGACATCAAACAATTATATACATGACTCAACTGAACCAATCTGCACTGGCCACAAAACTGCCTCAGTCGCTCCAAGTACATGCTTAGAACCACACTACTGTCTAACGGGAGTCTCCAAAGAAGGCTGGTATCTCATTTCATTAATAATTAGATCCAACAGCATAATCTGAAATTCTTCCTTTAGAAAACAAATGGCAGCCCAATTTCGGAAGAGATTTACTGGGCTAATTTATTTCAACTGTTCAGGGCTGAAAAAAAATGCAGTACAGGAATTTACCTTCTGTAACCTTTTGATTTAGATATTTGAAGATTTTATGTTAATGTCAAAAGCAAGAAAGAGCTACCAATGGGAGCAGCGAGCATATGAAAATGGTTCGGCAGTTCCAATGTTCCCATTTAGTTTTTGGTAATAGAATCACTTAACAACCTATCACATTAACAGGCAAATTTTAATAGTTCCCACCTAAAGACAACAACCACTTATCTGGAGACAATTATACTGCAAAGCCACGCCATTCCTGCGTGCTTCCCCCTCCCGGGAGAAGGAAAGCTCCTGCGGCTGCCCACGGGGTCAGCACAGGACGCAGCACTTTCCCAAGTGGCGGCAGCTGGACTCCAGGAAATGGCGCCCGAGTCCTCTCTGCTATGCTGCCATTATCCTTCACTCAGCCGACGACAGGCCGACGACAGGCCAACGACAGAGAAAACAGGGAACGCATAGAGCTAACTCTCATTAAAGTGGCAATCGCCTCAAATGCTGTACTAATAATGACTTAGTTTACACTAAACTATCAACAGGAAGAATTCACTTCTTAGTGTGCAATCATCGTTAAAAGTGGTGAAAATGGAAGTTTATTTGGCGGGCAGAATGTAAGGTTAATAAATTAATAATCCATAAGCATTTATGAAGCATAAACTATTCCGACGTGTTATATAGTAAGTGGATACTCTATATGTTCTTGCATGTTTATGAACAGTACTACTTATAGGATTAAAAAGTTAATCTAGCCCAAATCTTAGATCCTTTCCTATCTGTGTTTCCTTCTCTCATCCTGTTCTCAATACTCAGAACAGTAAACGTGTATCTTCCAGGCCTGTAGCCTTGGTAGGCAGGCTTAGCGAAACACTCCGTGAACAGAAACTTGGACGAAAAGGACGGAGTGGAGGCCCCACATGTCACACAGGTGGACATGGCCAGGCATCTTAGTTTTGCTCCACGTAACCGGCTCCGCTTTACCTCATCTCAGAAAACGGCTGCACTAACGCTGCGTCTCCACAACAGCCCCGGCGCCTCTGCCGCCATCTTCCGTGGAAACAGCGAGTGCCTTCTGACCTCAAGATCCTGGCGACGCGGACGGGGCGGGCTCACGACCTCGCTTCCTTTCCTGAGCTGCCCTGGTACACACACTGCAAGACTCCGCCACACCCCTGCACTGGCTCTGGATTGTATTACACGGATGTTTTTATAGACTGGTCTCCAGCACAGGCAGACGAGGCGACAAAGGGTCCCTGCAGGCCTGTCCAGACTCCAAGTCTCCTGGGTGACGGATGTCTGGAGCCTGAATAAGGAGACTGTAAAACCGATGAGGGAAGGGAGTGGGCATTTAGCCAAGCGGTTGAATGCTGGCATTCCATGTTGGGGTGCCTCAGCCAGATCCCAGGTCTTGGCTCCTGACTCCAGTTTCCAGTCAAGGCAGGCTCTGGGATGTGATGGTCAAAGTGGTTTGTTTCCTGCCACCCACAGGGGAGACCTGGATTCCATCCCCGGCTCCTCGTGCTGGCCCTCAGCCATGGAGGGCATTTGGGCAGTGAATCAGTAGATGGCAGCTCACTCTGTCGTCAAACACTGAATGAAGGAGTTGGGTTTGGGGGAAAGGCCCAACGATGACAGCAGTGGCAGTGGCAGTGACTTTACACTAAGGGTTATCACGCATGAAAGCTCACATGGGCTCAGAGCCAATTCTCCGGTCAGCCAAACTGTCACCAGTTCAGAGACCTCTCCTTAAATAATCTCCCCACATCCACTATCTCATCCTGCTCCCTGGTCCACTGTCCATGTTACCCGAAGCCTTTTGACACTGGTATTATTTTGTCCCCTTGTTGCCTGTCTGTCCGACTTGGGAGCAGAACCCAGGTCTTCAGCAGGCAAGCGTGTGCCCGGGGAACGCACGCTGAGCAGCAGGACAGAGGCGAGGACTCTGGTGAGCAGAGGGCAGCACGCGTGGCTGGGGCCTCCACGTGCAGACCTGCCGTGCTGCCAGGCGCGCGTCGTACGTACAGTGAGAACAGCCTTCCCCAGCAGAGAGGAGTGGCCCCGCATGGAACGTAGTCCAAGAGATGAGGACTCCACCTGCCATCTGTGTGTGCTGCAGAGGGCTGAAGGCTCCTGGCAGGGGAGGGTCTGGGACTCCCGGGTGCTGTAGCCTCCAGGAGAGACATCCACCCCAAGATAATTCTAAGGCAGCAGACATAGAATGACTAATATATTGCACTCTAGCACATGCTGACTAAAAAATCATGTGGAAAACATTTCCATTAGTTCATTAGTTCCATTATTCATTAGCGAGCCTGTAACGCATTTTGTTGAAGGTTTGTGGATTCTATGTAAAGCCTCTGGGAGTGTCCACCAGTGACCTCTGGGGCAGGTGAGAAGAGAACCTCTGGGAGGGAGCTGTGTGGGTTGGTTCTTACGGAGCAGTCGACACTGCTAAGGCACACAGACCTGCCTGTCTATAACCTTCTCATAGGAGCGCTCACTTGCAACACCCAACAATTCTCCACACTCATTTGCTGATATTTTCTCTTTGCTGCCTTTTGGGATCGTGGGATAGTATGACACTGACAGGACAGGCGTTGCTACACTTACTCAAGGGCCATGAAAAATTAGAGCCCAACCTGCACATGCTTAGAAGGAGCATAGAAAGGAAAAGGCCAGAGGTTCAGAGACCGGGAAGCACACGCAGGAAGCACACGCAGGAAGCCAGGCCTGCTTTCTTATTTAGTGGTGACGACGCCACCCAACCCTACTGAGAACTCAGCGCATGCCAGAGGCTGTTTACAAACAGGTGCACACACTGCCATCCACACGCAGCCAAGTCCTCTGGGATGGCACTACCACTCTGCATCATTGCAAACTGAGGCCCGAAGGAGACGCGTAGCTTTCTGAAACCGCGGTCACTGGCGGCAGGCACTCAGCACAGCCCTCCAGCACAGAGCCTGCGCTTCAGAGAACCACCGTCCCATCCTCCAGCAGCTGCCAAGTGTCCAGGGACTTGTGTGCGAGGCTAGACCTTAGGCTTTCAAACTGTGGAACATTAGGGAGGTTTCTCCTTTAAGCACAGGCACAGTTTGCTTTGGGGAGGCTCACAGAAAAGCTCATTTGCACCTACACACTTGGGTGACAAATTCAAGATGCATGGTGCAGGACTGAAATAGTTAGAAATAAATGCTTAAAAAAAAAAGACCTTTAAAACTGGGGAGATAGTGTAACTTGGAGGGCTTGCTATTACGTGGTAAAACAAAAAAAGATGAAAAGACATGTTAGAAAGTGAGAAATAGAGGCAAGTTACTCAGCTCCTGTTCTACTTTACAGTTATTTGTTTATCCAAAAGGCAGAGAGAGACAGAGGAGTATACAGAAAAAGAGATCTTCCATCTGCTGATTCACTTTTCAAATGCCCACAACAGTCAGGGCGGAGCCAGGCTGAAGTCAGGAGCCAGGAGCTCCATCCAGGTCCCCCACAGGCGACAAGAACCCAAGCGCTCAGGTCACCAACCGCTGCATTCTAGGGTAGCAGCAGCAGGAAGCTGGGCTGGAAATGGAGTCACTACGATACGGAATGCAAGTGTCCCCAAGTGGCAGCGTTACCTGCTGTGCCATCACACACCGGCCCCTTAAGTTCTCACTGTAAAGCAAGGTTAAGGGAGCCACAGTAAAGTCACCATGGAAAACATCACCCTGAGGGACATTTTTACAGGCTCGCGCTCTGTCCCTGAGTGGGAGGTCAGCAGAGTCTGGGAGGGTCTATCAGTGAAGAAAGACCACCGTGCGGGCTCCACACAAGCTCAGGTCTCAGGCACTAAAACCTGCTTCTGCCACCACTCGGCTGCCCCTTTCTCCTGGTGGCCTTGGGTACTGGCTTAGATACTAGCAACTCGGAGGACCTGTTCCCTTGGCTAGCTTCCCTGCTGCTCCGGGGCTGGAAGAAGCCAGGCCACGATTCAGTTCCCCACAGTAACCAGGTCATTTGGGGATTCAGTGGTACTAATCAGTTTCAGTTTTTATCCAACTAGAGAACTTAGACGTCATTAACTCAGGCTGTGATCGGGCAGTAGAAAGAGCTTTGCTCTAGGAGCCAAGCACAGCTTAACTTTTTAGCTGTGGAACCTAGACCAGGGATCGAAAACTTTTTCTGAAAAAGGCCAGTCTGTTAAGTATTTCAGACTTTGTCGGTCAAACAGTCTCTGTTGCAACTTCTCAGCTTTGTATTACCATTAAAGCTTGTCCTAAGGGGCTATAGGAAAGATTGCATAAACAATGGGTAAGGAAGGTTATGTTCCAGTAAAACTTTATTTGGGGACATTGTAATTAGAATTTCATATAATTTTAGTATCACAAATACTTTTCATTTTTTTCTGCTAACCATTAAAAATTCTAGAAATCATTCTGAGTTCAAAGGACAGTATAAAATCAAGAGGGTTTTTGGTGGTCCATGGCCCTTAGTTGTGGACTCCTGATGGGGTAATTACACTTGCTCTGGCTAACTCATAGGACTGGAAAATTCAACTCTGGGGAAAACATGGAAGAAAGACGGCCCTCTGTCTATGTGTGATAAGAACCCACTGCTGCCATTTATTTAGGTTCTGTGCTTTCCTAGTGAACCTCCCAACAAGCACTTACGAGAGCTTTTACAAAGGAAGACACAAGAGAAGAGCAATTTCATGCAGCCCAGTCAGCTGGTCATCCTTGGCAGGATGGGGCAGTGGGAAAGCAGCAGACACCCCCACCGTAGGACCTGGCCACTGGTCTCCCCAGCCTCGGAGTCCACTCTCAGCCTCTGCTGACAGCCCCTTCCTCCGCTGAGCAGAGGTGCTCGTGCAGCCTCACGAGGGCCGCTGTTCAGTGATGATTATCTCTGGCTGGAGGTCCTGAACTCTAACAATAAACCTTGCTTTTAAATCTCAGAAAAATGTGTTATTATTATGCAATAAACCCAGAAATGAAGCTCCAACCTTCTGACTTCAAATCTCATGGAGAACATGCACTTTTCCAAAAACACATTTAATTCAGATCTTTTACCACAATTGCTTTGCTCATTATACTCAAGTTATCAATACCTCATCCCAGTGCAAAAATGTACACAGGTGAAATTTCCTGTTTTAGTTTGTATGACATTCAAAAACTCCCTCTTTGTTTTTTCTTTTCTATTACCACATTTCCAAACTAAGAATGACCATCTACGCATTCTGCTAAGGAAACACAGATGTGGGTCTCTGTCATAGACTATTTTTAAGTAAGACTAGCTTTGATAGCGACACCATTTTCACAACTCTCCAGAACCATAAAGTTAAATAATGGAATCCACAAAATTGACTGCAAGTAAAATTTGCCAGTAAGATATGATAAAGAAACAGAGATCTTTACCCTGTCATAGTCTTAAAAAATTTTAAGAGACCCCCCGCCCCCATCATTTTCTACTTGGTCCTGTTGGATCAAAACAACATTTTGCCTTTTATGAAACACTGAACTGTATTTATTTCCATAAATGCTTATCTCATAGTAACGCAAATGTGAAAGTGAATTATTACCGTCCCCACTAATTTCATCTGCAGATCCAGGTGGCATGCAAAGAAAGGCAGAGCAGGGGACAGGGCGGGGGGCAGCGGGGAGGGCGAGACAGGACAGAGAAGAGGGAAGGGGGGAAACACACTATTAAAATGACAAGCAAATCAAAGTGTGAGAGAAACAAAAATCTCCCCCTCCCCCATCTCCTTCAAACGATAAGAGCGAGATTACAGTAGTAGGCAGGTTTATTTGCATCTAAGGGCATTACGAGCACTTTTAAACTGTCAGCATATTATACAAAGCTATAGAGGAATATTATAGAGCTTCAGCTGGTTTCAACCACACAAAGCAAAAATTACTTTGATACCCCTTCACAAATGAATGTGAAAAATGACTTCTACTTTGCTCAAAGGGAGTGTGCATCCTCTGATACAGAAATGACGGTCCTGGTGTGCCTATCCTGATGAGCCGGGAGAGGTAAGGATTCCACAGGAGAGGCAGGCCAGGCCCACTACTGACAACCGCGGGGACTCTGCCGGTAGTAAGGTTACCATTTTAATTTGTGCAGAAAAAATTATGTTCCAAACAGTTGTGTGCAATCACCATTCCGACTACTGACAGACTGTTCTGTTCTGAAAACCTCTGCACACGGCACGGCTGCCTCTAGGAGGCTGCAGCCCTGAACACCGGGCCAAAGCACGGCAAGCAGGCAGCGGCCCCATCCAGCTGCAAGCTGTGTCTGTGTCAGGGACTCCACAGTGCACAAGCAACCCTGGGAAAGCTCTGAGACGGCACAAATGAAACTGCGAAGCCACGGCCTGCCCTGTCATGCATCTGTGAAAGTCAAACAGCAGGCAAATCAAACGTCTTCTACTCAAGAGAGCAGCCCAAAGATGGCCAGACACAAAACCCTGCACCCAGTTCTGGCTTCTGGGCAGTCGACAGCACACACGCTGACATCCAGTAACAAACAGCTGCAGCTGCGACACTCGACAAGCATCTGAGTAGTCAGCTTCCGGGGTGCTCTTATTAACAGGAGAGCCTGCGCAATCCAGTGCAGTACCCGGAGGAGGAGGCTCATGGGAACAGAAGATCAAAGGGAGAAAGCGCCTGGCTTTCTTAACTTTATGCTGGCAGTGACTGACTCCTTTATAAAGAGGCAAGAGGAGGAAAGAGAAAAATAGAAACAAATTATTTCAATACTTTTGTTACATTTTAAGTTGCATGTATAAAAATAAACACAAAATTGCAGTATTTTAATTTTACTATTGGTATACTTTTATTTTGTACTATGATTGATGTTTTAAAAACATTAATATTTTAAAATGTAATTTCCTGTTTTAGCTAAGAGTTCTACTAGATATAGAAACAAGACAGAATGAGACTCTCCCAGGTCTACAAGGCAGTCAACTGAAAATACAGATGTTTTTACAGATAACAAAACCAAAGCAAAAAGAAACAAAGTACACAGCAGAGACCAACACATAATTCAAAATTCTTGTGAACATGTAACATTCAACTGCAAAGAGAAAAGGGCACAGACGAGCAGGCTCTGATTCAGGAACGTTTTCTAAGCCATTTCTCCCCGATCATGAGTAAAGACAGACTCAGAAATCTGAAGCACACACCATCCACTCCCTTAACGTAACAGCTGTGGTGAGGGTGTTTGAATGCACAAGCGCAAAGCTGCTATCAGCATCACTAAGCCAATCTGTTGTTCACTCAGGTCCTCAGAACCCCTGTGGCGTCACCGCACTTAATCCCAGGCTCTGACTGGTCAGCACGGAGAGAAGCAAGCGTGGCAGCACGGTGGCGGAACAGTGGACACGTGTCTAAGCGGAGTCCCGGCAAGGACGTGCTGTACACGAGGGCACAGACACAGGTGCGGACACTGCTACAGCGGGCAACATCTAGCTGCAGACCCTCAGAACACCAGCAAGACAGCCGGGGTGCAAGCGCAAGCTGAGGGGCGCAGGGCCGGGGCCGTCTGCTCATCGGGAGCCAACGATGCCATGGCTACTACAGACCCAGCAGGAGAACTGAAACGCACACTTTAGAAACACTGCTCAAGTAGTGTGTCTCTATTTCATTTATTAACTATTTCATCTTACTGCTTAATCTGAAAAGCCACCTTTATGCCACACTAAATCTCTGGGTCCGACGCGATGCTCCACTGGACAGTCCTCTCTGGATGTGGGCCTGACCTGACCACTGGACGCACAGGTGACGCCAGATGGGATTCTGCAGTGGTGGTCAGGGAGGGGACGATCAGGAAGCAGCGCTACATGGCCACTGGTGGGAGCGTGGATGGGGCACACCTTCAGTGTTCAGCAGGCTCTACGGAAGATGATGCCCCGGTCCGTAGACACATACACTGAAAATTTACGAAAGGCACCAAGTCTGCAGCTGCTTTTAAATGGCTCAAGAAAAACGCTAACAGAAAAAGAAAAGCATATGATGAAGGATAAAGCAAATACGAACGCCACAGATGTGAGTGGAGCCCAGGTATTTCATTTCCCTCCTTACAGCACACTGCCGGTATGCCATCATGGAACAGCAGAACACACAGGAATGTGGGCTCTGCAGTCAGCAGTTTGGTTCAAACCCTGACCCCACTACACACTCCCTGGCCTAGAACACATCATTCAACTTCTGCATGCCGGTCTTCCTATTTACAAAGTGGGGTAGTGACAGCAGCCACTTCAGGTCAAGAGCTGAGGAGAGCGTCCCGCGGGATTCCCTGGGCACCTGACGGATGGTGACAACACCATGGTCTGAGCTGTTCTGACCTTCCTAAGTCTAAACTGAGCTATTTCTAAAAGCAATAGTCAAGAAAGTGTAAGGGCAATTTTTATTGAGTAATATCAGGACCATTATTCCCCATCATAAAGATGAAAACAAAAGGAATCAGGCCCTTCTTTAATTTATTGAAGATGTTCATTTTAATTCTATTTACTGAACACCTATCAGGAGCCAGGCACATGGTGTGTGCTGAGGTGACAGCGGTGAACAAAGCTCTCAACTTACTGAGCTAATGTTAGGTAGAGGAGAAAGAAGACTGATCGTGTGGTTTGTCAACTTGTAAGAGCTACCAGGGAGAACAGCACACGAGCCGGCGCCTGGAGCCCTTCACAGACGTCCAGGAGCAAAAGGGAACGGGCGTGCACATATCTGGGTGCGACTCCCCAGGAGCAGCGGACAGCTCACGCAGAGCCCGCAAGTGTCGGGGCCGGGACAGTGGAGGTGGTGCTGTGGCCGCTGAGACAAGAGAAGGCTGAGACCTCATACTGCGTGTTAAGTGAGGGCTCTTATTCTGAATGACATCAAAGCAAAGAAAGTGAGGAGCAGAGAGACGTGGTCTTTCACACTCTGAAGGCTTCCTGAGAACCTTCTACAGGGGGCAGGAAGGTTGTGATATTCTAGTTGTAGTTCAAGGTGAATCTGGACAAGAGTAGCTGTGTGGAAGTTAGACTGCGATCAACTGGAAGACTGAATCAATCAGGATCTGCCGAAGAAATGGATTTGGGATGAGAAAGAGAGCAGCATGAGGAACACCCCAAAGATGAACTGCTCACGGGACGGGAGAAAGGCCCTGGTGAGAGGACAAGGTGCGAAGAGCGGGCTGGGAGTGCAGGCACGGCTCGTCTGGGATGTGTGTGGTCTGCGACGCTCACCAGACACCAAGTCAACAGGCACGCCTCCACATGCTGATGGGCACTCATCAAGAGTCAGGGGCCACAGACGGACAGGTTCAACACAACAGTGCCATCCATGCAGGTAACAGAAATGAACTTTCACTGAGAACACACGGGGAGGCCGAGCTAACAGCAAATTCACCAAGTTCCACCCAGAGGAAACATGGGGCAACCAAGGAAATGTTGAGTACTGACGAGATATTTGATTCTGCTTTTTCTTTCTGTTTATCTTATAGAAGTATTTGTGGATGAAATATGCCTTAGGTTTGCTTCAAAATAATGAGAACGATGTGTCTGTTTAAGTGAGTGAAGGAAGAGAAACACACACACACACACACACACGTGCACGTGCGCGCGCGCACACACACACACACAGCTTTCTTCACCAGATGACAGCCGACAACCGGGCCCAGCGCCTGGCTGGAACTCAGTCTGAGTGTGCTGTGTGGGGCAGGGCCGAGTACTGGCGCCTCGCGGGTGCTAATCCTCCGCGGGAAGCTGGGACTTCGACTGGGCACTCTGATACGGGATATGGCGCCCCAATGTGCCAAACACCCACCTATATGTGTATTTTAAATATTTCATTAAAAAGGCACAAAAATTAAGTAAAAAGTATAAAATACAGTAGGTATTTAACAATATTTGTCAATTTCTACAGTTTATTCTGCTGAAAGCACTGCAAATATTTTGCTTTGAGTCATGAACTTTGATTTCAATCCCCAAAGAACATTAAGCCATCACTATGGGGGAAAAACCTTTAAGGCAAATTCTAGAATTTACATTTTAAAGTCTGAGGCATTCTTTTCAACTTTTCTGTAAAGAAAAAAAACAACTATGCCTTTCGATGTTAGTAAAATTTGCTTTATATTTAGTAAGATGATATTTGGAAACCTTGCATGTTAGTGATTAAAAAAAAAAGAAGACTGTGAATTTGGCGCTGTGCCTAGTGGGTAAAGCTGCAGCCTGGGATGCCAGTATCCATGTGGAAGCTGGTCCGAGTCCCAGCTATTCCACTTCCAATCCAACTCCTTGCTAACGCTCCTGGGACAGCAGTGGAAGATGGCCCAAGTGCTTGGGCCCCTGCACCCATGTGGGAGACCCGGAAGAAGCTCCTGGCTCCTGGCTTCAGATCAGCACAGCTCTGGCTGTTATGGCCAATTGGGAAGTGAGCCATCAGATGGAAGACCCCTCCCTTCCTCCCTCCCTCCCTATGTCTCTGCCTCTCCTCTCTCTGTGTAACTCTGACTTGCAAATAAATAAATAAATCTTTTAAAACAGACCATCAAAGCTTATGAATTCTTGTGTTCATCCGTCTGACCCAAGGATTAAGAAGGTTGTGATTCAAGCAGTCAGGCACTGCTCACCACGCAGCACAGAGCTCCCGAGCACTCCTTTCCCCCCACTACTACTGTGCAGAAGACGGAAAAACTCTCTGCTCTACGAACAGAGGAAAAGCACCCTAACCCACTGTGGGTGGGCATGCCAACTGGAACAAGCATTATGAAAAACTGTATCGAGATTCCTCAGAAAACCAACAACAGATCTTCCACACTATCCCAATCTTGGGAACAGCCAAAGGAAAGGAAATCAGCACAAGTGAGAATTATCTGCACTCCCACGTTTATAGCAGCTCCACTCGTAACAGTGAAGACACGGAATCAACCCAAAAGTCCACCGTGACGCCTGGGTCGAGACGCACGATGGACTAGTACTCCAGCACAAACAGGACGAAACCCTGACACTGCAACAAGATGCTCGAACCAGAGAGCACCGTGCCACGTGAGGCAGACCAGGCTGAGAACGACAAACCAGGCTTTCTCTGCCGTGTGGAATCAGTGTCGAGCGTAACACCTGTGCAAGGCCACAGCAGCCGCGTCGTTCCAAACACTGCTTCACCGAACCAGAGCATGTGCACAACGTTCCCTCCGTTCTCCGCGCTCTGATCACTGCCATGGCGCTCACCTGGTGAAAGCTGATGTCTCTGCTTTCAAGAAAAGAATAGTAGATGTGTACACACACACGTAAGTACACAATGTCAACTTGTGAGGCGAATGTGGCAAAATGTTAAAAACATTATTAAATTTAAAACTAAAAAACCTCGTTATTGCTCAACTTCTCATATCTGAAGGTGCCTTGGGCCACGCCGCCAGGAAGGCCTGCACGAGTCTGCCTGCACCTGCAGTGAGGTTAAGCACAGGTCCAGGGTGGAGGAGGGGCGTCCTTCTGGCTCTGGGTCCTCTTCCAGGGCATTACGGTACGACATCTGACGCTGGTGTCTCAGCACCTGTGACCTCGCCGTGTGCTCACCCTCAGGAACCACAGAGCAGAGGCTGCGACTGCCCAACACACTCAATCCCCAGCGAGGAAAAGGGTTCCAGATGGGGTGGGGAGGGAGGACTGCAGGGTGGCAGCACCGCTCGGCTACTGTTGATGACAGCTGCCTCACTCACAC